TTTGAAGACGCGAGAAACTGCACCTGCTGCTTAGATAAGCGCGAGCGCAGCTGTACTCGGCTGTTTCTTGCCTCTGCCAAGATGGCCGCCGGCGGCTCGGCGTGGCTTCACCCGCTCCCATGGGTAAGCATAGGCGGCTTCCACTCCAGCAGGTTTTTATATCCTCCTTGCCTGAGCATGAGCGCACATGGATGGATGGACTAGATGGATTGATATGGTTGTACCTTTTAGATCGGCGGTGGCTAACGCGACCTAGCCGTAATAGTTAGTAAACCAACAACTAGATTTATCCCTTTTTCCTCTTTAAATAGTGAAGTTCAGGACTGGTACTTTGCAGTGAAGAATTCAATTTTCACTCGTGCCTTGATTTTCACCACCAATCGGATAACCTCATTCTAGTTATTTCTACCTGCCTAAAGTCTCTTTTGCCCTCGCTGTTCCTCTTCGCCATTATCTTGAACTATAAGGTAAAGTCCTTCACAGAACACTATCAGATGTTCGGCAGTTTCCTGCTCCTCCCCACACGCACTGCATAACGTGTCAAACCCTTCGTATTTGGCCCAATAAGTCTTGGTTCGCTATACTCCCGTCCTGGCCTCAAACAGTAGAGAACAGGGGCAGCGCCAGGGGGTGGGCGAGGGTGGGCTGGAGCCCCCCCCCCCCCCCCGAAATTCTCGCCTGCCCCCCTATGCCCACCCAAGTGCCCGGAAGCATATATTGAAAACCTAGTAGGAGCAGAGCTTGCCCCCCCCCCCCCCCCCCCTTGAGGAACTCACTTTTCGTGGTTGCCCCCCCAGTACAAACATCCTGGCGCCGCCCCTGGTAGAGAACTACCCCAAGCGTTATCAAAGAAGCTTTCCTTGGTGATTTCCTGCTTAAAAGTTTGATAGATCTATAGCGCCGGCTTCTTTATTATGCCACTTCTCCACATGTCAGTCTCTTGTTTCCTTCACCTTCTTCTTAACCGATAGCTCTTTTTTGGTTTGGTAGCCTGCTCTTTTCTAAGTATTTACCCGTCAATTTTCTGGTTTGCTTCCTCCATTTTGTATTGACAACCCACATGTACAAGTAGCTGAAAACCTTCCTAGCCCAACGCTCCTCCCCCATTTCTCTCAATCGCTTCTCAAATTTTATCTTGCTGCTAGCTTCCCTGCTCTCAAATGTGATCCATCCCATATCATCTTGTACTGCCTGATTTGGTGTATTCCCGTGAGCTCCTAACGCAAACCTACCTATTCCACGCTGCTTAATTTCTAATCTTGCTTGAACTTCTGATCTCATGTACAAGACCGCACTGCCGAACGTCAGACCAGGAGCCATGACCCCCTTTCATATTCCTCTCACAACGTCATGCCTATTGTAATTCCACAGTGCCTTATTTTTCATCACTGCTGCATTCATGTTCCCTTTAGTCGTCACGTATATTTTTTGTTTCATTAGGTACTCGGTCCCATTGCTTATCCATACGCCCAGATATTTGTATTTATCTGTTATTTCTAGCATGACCTCCTGTATCCTAAGCTCACTACCTTCATTATCATTAAAAATCATGACTGCTGATTTTTCCTTACTGAATCTGAAATCTAACCTCCCTCATTACCGCAGATGCTCATCAATCTCTGCAAATCTTCATTGTCATCGGCTATTAGCACTATATCATCTGTGTACATCAATGCTGGTAGTGCCTGTTCAATGAGTTTTCCTTGTTTGACTAAAGAGAGGTTGAAGCCAAGTGCACTTCCCTCTAATTTGGCCTCTAATTCTTGTAGGTACATCATGAATAACAAGGGAAGCAAAGGACACCCCTGCATAAGCCCCCGTTTAACCTTTGTAGGCTTGGATACCCGTTTTTCCCGCTTTATAACCACCTTGTTACTTTTATAGATATCCTTTAAAAGATTGGTGACTCCATCTTTCTCACCTAGTGCATCCAGTATTCCCTGCAAGTTCTCTTGAACCACGCTATTGTACGCTGCCTTGATATCAAAAAATGCTAGCCACAGGGGCCCGTGTTCCTTTTCTGCTATTTCGATGCACTGCGTCAGTGAGAACAGATTGTCTTCCAACCTCCTGTTTCTGAAACCCATTTTGCAGTTCCCCCAGCACCCCCTCATCCTCTATCCATGCCTGCAGTCTTTCCTTTATGATCTGCATTGCCAGCATGTAGACCACTGATTGTTTATGTCAGCTTTGTCCCCCTTTCGTTTATAGATCATGCTCATCCTGCTAAGTTTCCATACATCAGGGACTTGCAGCGATTATTATTTTGCTCACTGCCTCTCTCAAAATCTGCTTAGACTTCGGACCCAATGTCTTTATCAGCATAACTGGAATGCCTTCTGGGCCTGTCGATGAACTACTAGGAGCCCCTAACCACTACGCTCTGATGCGTACATGGGGCAAAGTACGCGTGGGAAATAAGCGCGCCCACCGGTTGTGCCTTCGCGATCTCCGACGACAGCGCAGCTCTGACCGAGTGGGCTCGCCCAACGCCATTTCGTGACGCCGACATGAGCTCTCGCTCAGTGGTGCCCTGTCCTGGAACTCCTACGACCGGGTCCATCTTTCCTATCTCCTCTCTACTTCAGTCGCTCGCTGTACTGCGCCCCGCTCTCAGCTTCCTCTTTTAATTATATCCTTTTAATCCCTTCTTACCCCCATCCCTTGTGAGCTAGCGTTGAGTTGTCGCACTCTTATGCAGACAGTTATGGGGCTCACTTTTCTCTTCTTTTCCTCTTCAAGAATCACACAAGTGCGCGTTCGCGCGTTGCGACGAGCTGGGTGCCGAGCATGGGCAGCTTTTAAAGAGGATAGTCTTTCTTGGGAACCTTCGATGGAAAAAGTTTCGTCTGTCCGTCTGTACATTTGTCTGTTTCACTGCCTTAACGATATCTCAAACGGCACTAAACGGCCAACCCCATCCGCGGCGCCCACCAATATTACTCAAGGTTTATCGTTCATAGTGTTACGATTGTCAATTGAAAAAGCAAATATTGCGCACATTTGAGGCACCATAACAACACGTCTATGTTTTGTATGTCTGCCTTTATACTAGAAGAGGCACACAAGTAACTCTAAGGACTATAGAGTTTAACGCGCTGCGCTGACAGTGCAACGCGATGCTCAAGAAGGTGTTTCCAACGCTTTGCTACGACGGCACGGTGGTGGCACCTGCCCGTCGCTTTGCATTCTGCACCTTATCACCTCCGGGTCTGGCGCGCATTTTTCTCCGCGGTCACGCACGCCTTCGTTTTCGAAGATAACTGACAGACGGCGTTCAGGCCTAACGTGCCAAACAAGGAAAACAAGGAAAACTCATTGATCAGGCACTACCAGCGTTAATATACGCAGATGATATAGTGCTATTGGCCGACAACAAGGAAGGTTTGCAGAGATTGATGGACATCTGCGGTAATGAGGGAGGCAGGTTGGGTTTCAGATTCAGTAAAGAAAAATCAGCAGTCATGTTTTTTAATGACAATGAAGGTAGTGAACTTAGAATACAGGAGGTCACGCTGGAGAAAACAGATAAATACAAATATCTGGGCGTATGGATAAGCAATGGGGCCGAGTACCTAAGAGAACACGAAATATACGTGCCGACGAAAGGTAACAGGAATTCAGTGGTAATGAAAAACGGGGCACTGTGAAATTAGAATAGGTATGATGTCGTGAGAGGAATATGGAAAGGGGTCATGGTTCCTGGTTTGATGTTCGGCAATGCGGTCTTGTGCATGAGATCAGAAGTTCAAGCAAGATTAGAAATTAAGCAACTTGGAATAGGTAGGCTTGCCTTAAAAGCTCACGGGAATACACCGAATCCGGGATTACAAGGTGATATGGGATGGACATCATTTGAGGGCAGGGAAGCAAGCAGCAAGATAAAATTTAAGAAGTGATTGAGAGAAATGGGGGAGGAGCGTTGGGCTAGGAAGGTATTCAGCTACTTGTACATGAAGAATGTCGATACAAAATGGAAGAAGCGAACCAGAAAATTGAATGGTATATACTTAGAAAACAGCAGGTGGCCAAACCAAAAAGAACTATCGGTTAAGAAGAAAGTGAAGGAAATGGAGACTGACATGTGAAGAATTGGCATGATTAAGAAGTCCGCACTAGAGATATATAGAACTTTTAAGCAGGAAATTGCCAAGGAAAGGATCTATGATAATACTCGGGGTAGTTCTCTACTGTTTGACGCCAGGACGGGTGTATTGCAAACCAAGACATATCGGGCCAAATACGAAGGGGTAGACATGGTATGCAGTGCGTGTGGAGAGGAAGAAGAAAGTGCCGAACACTTGATAATGATTTGTAAAGGGATTCACCCTATAGTTCAGGATGATGGCACAGAGTTTTTCGAAGCACTGGGGTTTAGGGAAAGGGAGGCAAAATAGACTTTAAGCGAGTACAAGTAACTAGAAGGAGGTTATCTGATTGGTGGCTAAAGTCAAGGCACGAGTGAAAATTAAAGCCTTCACTGCAAAGTACGAATCCTCAACCTCATTATATAAAGGAAAAAAATATATATAAAGCTAGTTTTTGGTTCATTGAGTATTACGGCTTAAAGGCGCTAGCCACCGCCCAATCTAAAGGACACAGCCATATCCATCCACCTTTCAGAATACCATTCCCCGATTTTCTTGCGCAGAACATCGAATAAACGTTTTGTTCGCTCCCTCCAGACGCAAGACTATCGTCTTTTGACGACATTTGCAGTGGAACAAGTCGAGTTGCGCCAATTTTTTTTTTCTTTCTTGAGTTTTCTTATATATTGATACATATACATATATGGTGCATGATGGCAGCAGAAGCAACATTAAAAACTAGTCGAGACTGCGCGTATATTTAATATTGCAATAAAATACACGAAAAATAGTTTTTCTGCTCTTAGCTTTATTGCTAAATTTTTTTTAGCTTCTGTTTGCTGCTTTTACGCTTTTATTTAGCCATTTTTGATGTTTGACATTTGGCAACACTGACCGTGGCGTCAAGTGGTACGTGAAGTGAACTGTGACGAAGTGGTAGGTGTTCTGTGGCTTTACGCTTATCACGCGCGCTGTTCGAGAGTTTGCGACCTTTCCTTGCATGTTGTACGCGCATACCGTCTACCGAGGTTTCGTGTGTGTTTTGGCGCCTTTCACTGCAACTCAGAATGAAGTATACTTCAGCGTTCGTGAGTACTTCGTCGTTGTTTCGTGGTTGCAAACATTGCTTTCGATCGAAGGCACTGTTGTGCAGCTTCAGCAGAACTTGTAGTGGGTCTAGTCGGTTCATAGCAATATAAGAAGAGAACTTTTTTTGGCGGAAACAATACGGAAAAGAGAAAAAGCGCTTCACTGCGCAGATAAGCGTTTTACTGGCGTGGCGATTTGTTTCACGCGTGTATACGTGTGCCCATTTAGAACCGCAGGCTGCGATGCTATTTCTAAATTATTGCTGGCCGGTTTTGACCTGTGTGAACAGATGCTTAAATTAGAGTCATAAGAGCTTGCATAGCGTCCCCCTATATTTGTAATCGATTCAAATTTAGAACCAGGGTTCCAGCTGCAATCGAACCGTGGCCTCCTGCGTGTGTTCCACCGCACAGCTACGCCGTCGAGGCGCTATTTCACCGGGCTGCCTTTGCTTTGGAACGAATAAAGGTATTCATGCCATGTTCAGTATCGCATGTCTCACACCTGCATGCATTTGCAGCCTATAGAAATAAAAAACAAGAGTGGACATTCTCATAAACCCCTGCGGCCCAATCGGCACTAGTGCACCTCGTGGTTGGTGAGAGCACGAGCTGCTGTACTTCTGACCCGCCCAGATAACCCCTCTTCTGCGCCCACGTCTAGTTTGCACCTTCTGTCGCTGGGGCTGTTGCCGACGGGCGGTGTGGTGGTAGTCAAGATCTGTTCGCTGGCATCATCTTCAGCGTTTGTGGTCATATTTTGGCCAACAAAGCACTCATATTGCATAAATATTATCTACAAAAGCAAAGTAAGTCATAGATAAATATACTAGAAGTCTTTTAGAATTTTTTACTATATAATTAAATGTCGCAGCACATAGGCTGACCAACGTCATAAGGGCCTACAGGCTCCCACGTGTGTCACCAGTGTGCAATAAATACTTAAGCGCACTGAATAGCTTACTTGACGAGCCTTCTAAGTTTGCAGAAATGAACGCATATATGCCAGTTGTTCAATCTCGGACTGCGGGAGTTCTTACTCCAGCACCGTCCAAACAGCCATAGAGAAGCAGGTGAACCGGTTTCAGGTAGCGCCACCAACAGTGAGTGATTGAACGAGAGCGGGGACACGGGCTCCCATATGAACCCCGCTATTTGGGCAGGTCAGGAGTACAGTAGGTCGTGGGTGGGAGCAACTGGCCTGTACTTTTCGTTTCTGTTGTTTCACTGGGGCAAATTTTGGATTACTGTGCGCAACCGACGCTTGGCTATGGTGAAAGTTAACAATTTCAGATCACTTTTCTCCATAGAGATGGCAAGGCTATTGTTTGTCGCTTTGATTTATCAATTTCCTATTTTGTCTAGCTCAAAATTTTTTGTGCAAATTGAGGTCATGGCATAATTTTTACTTTGACTAAGGTATAATAGAACGTGATGCAGGTAGTCATAATTCACTATACGGCTTTATTCATCGCGCTTGTCTTTCTTTTGGAACAAGCGCTCAATCTATACATTTATGTTTTTATTCCAAGGCAACGTAGAAGCTGAGCACATAAAAAGCACAAAATGAGAAGAGCATCACGAAGAAATGCTTTGCTATACTGTATGCGTTGCACAATGTTCACGTCTTGTCTCCACATACAGCCGCAAACTGTATTTTTAGCGAACGTGGTTGTCGTCACTAGCTCCAGAAAAAGGTTACAACTGCACGAGAGACACCACATAAAAAACATCGAAACGCACCACACACGAAGCGCAACATATGTGGGCGTGTTTGTGTTTCTTACATGTCTTATTGGCGCACTTGTAACCCTTTTCTGAATCAATGACCCCACTAGCCCAACAACATGTCATTCAACAAGCTTCTCTTGAAAACGTGCCTCATCTTCTATCTCCTTCACGAAAACACCGAAGGAGCCAACGTCGATGAAACTTTCCCGCTGTGATGTCTTGGCTGGTCGTATGCTGGTACGTCGGGTACTCTAATCGGTGCAAATTGTAGAGGCTGTTTAGGGCATTGCGGCTTAACAAAAATAGCCACGTTTGTAAGATGTGTTGAATAAATAGTTTTTATGTATAATGAACATGCCAATAATGGGTGTCTAACTATTATTTAGTAATAAAGCATTCCGTTGGATTGATAACTTTTTTGTTTTTCGCACTTGTATATCCTGGCGTTTGGTGAGAGCACTAGTTTCTTATGTAGTCGTGAAGTATTTCCTGAGGCCAGATTTGGCTGAGTGTCCACTCTTATAAACTTTTTCTTTCTCTTAATTTGCAGTGCTCATACTGTCACATTGCCACGTCTAATTGTGAGCATCCTCTCGAGGGAAGTTCAGTAAATGACACAGTGGCGGCACTTCGCTGTCGCTCTCTTGTTCGGTTGGGCTAGTCTCAGTGTGAACGCGGTAGTAAGAAAGAAGAACTGCGACTTAGCATGTTTTTTACATCAATGAACAAACGGGGCTCCTCCGTGACATGAGGATAGTTTGGGGATTCGTCCTTGCTAGACATGAAGCTTTCGTGAAAATACGCGGCTACCGGCGCTTTCAGTTAGAGGCCAAAGTGTATACATATAAGGTTTGTGAGGTTTTCTGTAGCAACCTTAGTTAAACGTTATCCTCCGACTTTTTCAGTGAAAATTCATCACCTTGTTTTACTTGCACATAGATGGCTTGCACTGACGTCGCTGAAACTGCCATGTGGGAGTACTAGCATGCGCGGACGAGGCAATTTTGATGTCACATGCTAATGCCGCTGCTAAGAAAGCATGCTAACGAGGCCATCAAAAAGAGTGGTAGCCAGGTATTGTGTGAAGACCACCGTGAGGTGACATTTCCGGTATGTCGTTACGAAATGCGCGCTGGGATTAGAAGCGGTCTTTGACATCAGCCGGCGAGCGAAATGCGAAAGGGAATGTTCTCGTCATCGTCTGCTTGGGTTTTGAAGTTTGAGGACTCATAGCTTCCCTTTCCGTGCATCAATTTCCATTATTTTTGTTGCATTCGTCTCGGTAATCATGGCTAAACATGTTCCGCTGCTAAATAAGGCTGTTTTAAGAGTGTCGCAGGGCCTCTTTGAGAAACTTCTCGTTCCTGACTGTGGAAATCATGGTGACGGTGTAATATGCTCGGAAACCATCGGCACATTGAACGTGTTGTCTCGTACATCTGCAATTGTGATGACCGCTGGCGGCTCACCGCTAAAGCAAATCTGCCGAAAAGAGGCTTGGTGCGGTCTACATTGTAGTTCCGTTCATTCGTAAGTCACGTATAGTTGGGCATATTGCCTCAGCGTAGGTAGGTGTATTGCCTCAAAGCAGGCGTTGGCCAAATTGCATGAAGCTGGCACAGCCAAGAACCTGAAGACTGAGAGGTGACGTGGGGATCTTTTCAGGCAACGTGCCAATTTCGGTGAATGGGCAATATTGATATAGAAAACCTCAATGTGAATCATGCTTATTTTAGCACGCTTGTCACAAGGAGGCAGTGTATAAATTAGAAGCAAAAGGTTAGGAGACACTTGAGGGATGCCTTTAAGAGTAGAATGCGATAGCGTAATTGAGCGCCATGTGCATTGCTTTCTCAATTGCTAGCCTGATGTCGGTTCTCCATGCATGTCGCAATTGTGCTGTAAAGAAACAAATGACTGTAACGATGGCTGTTTCAAGCTGGCTTAGAATACCTACTGCGGGTGCAGTTGTTGAGTGTTCATTAAGGCAAAACTATACCTTTCACTGTGTATCATCTGTAAGGCAAGATGTGAACCTTCCTAGCTGCTCACATTGTTCATGCTTTTGCTGGTGATGATGGTTAAGTATGTCTGAATGCCTTGAGATGAGTTCGCCTTTAAAACACGCGCTTGTTGCAAAGCTCACATGCTTTGTTGCCGTGTGCAATTCTGTGCTTCTGCCATGCAATATTACATGCATTAATGAGGCTCGTTCTACTACTTGGCATTGTTATGGTGTTTTTTTTATTCTCAGCTACTATGGCTACATTTAGATGGAGGTACAATGCTGGAGGTGCATATTGGGATGCATGTTAAAAAATCCTGGCTTGCCAATTTTTTGGAGTTGCTCAGTGTAGTGCCTTTCGTAATCAAATTGTGGTTTTAAGACACAAAACCCTCGCAGTCATTATGAAGGTCGTTCTTTCTCCCACATTCCGACAGTGCTGTATGCTTCTTGGACCAATAAATTGTAAGTGCACAGACAGATGAGGACTAAAGACACGGCGACACACAGACACTAACTTTCGACACTTTTATTGAAGCCCGAGGAACGGAATGTATAAGTGCAGACGTCACTTTACATGTTGCCGACAGAGAAGGACTATGACGCCGTCAATGACATCGCGTTCAATTCAATTCTCTGGACTAAACTGTCTATTTTTTCAGCTCGAGTTATTTCCCATGCGAGTTTTCTTTTGCTTCTGTTTATAGTTGTGCATTTCTTAAACGTTGAAACGTTGGTAAGTACTTCTTTTCCACATTGCAGTGTACATTTCCTCAGCACTGAAACACCAAGTTCGTCACAGCCATCACAACTCCTCATTCAAAACGCCTGCCCACTTCTGTCTAACATTCAGGCCATTGTTCCCTGAAGCGACCATTTACACACCTCCCCCTATGTCCTACATATGTGTTGCCACATTAAATAGACAAGCTGTAAACAACAAATTCCACACAGTTGACGAACTTCTCTTTATGTTTGCTCTTGCAATCTTGATTGTGAGGGGAACATAGGTTCGTTCTTCACAGTTTTTTAACTTTGTCAGGAGTAGAAAAAGCTGCTTTTTCTCCTTAGACGTCTGGAATTTTTCGGGCTTAGATATAACATTCGTTAAAAGTCAGTTAATAAACTGAGGGGCATACACCTGTTACAAAAATGTGTGCAATCAAAGCATAAATATTTAAAGTTTTTTTTATTATACACGCATGAAGCATGTGTGAGTCATGGTAATAGCATCGTTACAACTGTTACTTATAAATTTTTTTTGCTTTTTTTGGTTGTACCTAAGTATGTACGTGAGTTAAAGTGGCAGCATTGAGGAGTTGTTTTGGTGTCCGAGTGTCAGAGCACTCCCGGATTTTTTTTAGCCCACATGCCCCTCCAATACGCCTTCTCTTTTCTTTTTTGTCATTTTCAGACAGCGGCCCTCTCAGTTCCTATAATTATTCAGCAATGGTCTAGTTCATTTGCATTCTTTTTTGTTAAAGCACTTTGTGTATTCGTGAAAAAAAATGAAACATACTACTACTACTACTACTACTACTACTACTACTACTACTACTACTACTACTACTACTACTACTACTACTACTACTATTACTACTCTACTCCTCCTCCTCCTCCTCCTCCTCCTCCTACTACTACTACTACTACTACTACTACTACTACTACTACTACTACTACTACTACTACTACTACTACTACTACTATTACTGTCAAATATGCAATTTGTGGCA